TTCAAAACAAGTTTCATTTTGCGACAATATAAATGTATTAAATGTTGTATTTCAATTTTCATAAATTGTATTAAACAAAATAAATAAAAGAACCATAAATACTATCACTTATTCTTAATAATTAGTAATTTATTACTAAATAGTACAAACTATATCTTCTAATACAACAGAAGAATACAACCCAAGGATACAATCCCAATCTGAAGGGGAATAATATTGCCATAAAACAAACAAAAGAAAGTGAAGGACTGAACAAAAAGTTAAAAAGAACTTAAAAATCGAAAATGTTGTTTGTCCTCTTAGTCCTTTGTAGTTTAAGTGAAGGTTATCGATTTGTTGTTCAAAACAGAGCTATTGAGTGTGTCTATGCGGACATCACTGGCGTCGAGCGTGTTGTATCAGAGATTGCTGTTGTTAGTGGCGGCAACAGGGATATTGCGTTCAAAATTTCCGATCCAGCAGGCAACAACATCTACTCTATTGTGTACCAAGAGGGAAAGTATAGCAATCTTATTAATGTTAACACAAAAACGCCAGGGACTTATTCATTTTGTTTCGACAATTCCATGAGTCTCTACACAGGAAAGTTGGTCGAGTTTAAACTTCAAACAGAGAAGGTGGAACCCGCAACAACGGAGGAAGTGAAGTCCATAAAAACAAAGCTTTCACAAGTCGCCACTTATTTGAACGACGCTAGAAATGACCAAAGAAGACTCCGAACACGTGAGATTCGTAACAAAAAGAGTTTGTTTTCGATATCATTACTTTCTTTCATTTAACTGACATATAGCTGGTGATGGGACAAATTTGAGAACACTCATTCTGTTCTTTGTTGGGTGCGTTGTGATTGTTGTGATGGGGTTGTTCCAGATTTGGTACATCAAACGACAATTCAAAAGAGGTGGAAAGTAACTTTGCTGTCGTTTTATGCCAATTTGGTTCTATTTTTTATCAATTTTGTTACTATATTTGTATGAGAACAAAAAATAACTGTTGTTCAAATTTTTTATTTGAAGAAATACAATTGTTTTTTTCAATGGTTCTTTATAATATTTTAAATTAAATAAAAACTAAAATCGTTTGAAGTGACATTTAGCACTTTTTTTTATCGGAATTAACTTTTTGTGGTTTGATTCTTGAAAACTCCAAAACTCAATGTGCTATGAATTAGTATTCCTATAAAAATGAAAAACGAAACCCATTACAAAACGAAGAGAGATCGAATAAAAAGGGCATGGAATTGATAACTGCAGAAATGGAAGGTGAAGCAAGTGTGTTGCCACCGGAATACGCAATCTTCCTAAGTCAATCACAATCCCTTGCTAATTTGGAAATCCAAAACCAACATTTAAGACATCAAATGGTGTTTTCTCCACAAAGTGAGTGTCAAATGCCTTACACAAGCTCTTTGAGTGATTGTGGAGGAAGTCAATACTCTTTGACAACAGGACAACTTGTGCACAATTATCACAACATTCATAATAATGGGGGGAGACGATATTGGTCTTCAGAAGAGCATATCCTTTTTCTTAAGGCAATCACATGGCTAAATGCAACCAGTACAAAGCAATTACCTGTGAAACTCATTAGCGAATTTGTCAGGACACGGACACCAGTTCAAGTCCGAACCCACGCACAAAAATATTTCGAGTCGCTTAAAAAAACGGTCATCACACAACACAAAACTTCGATGACTTCAGACGTCGTTCTTGATCAAGACGATATTGATAGACTTAACAAACTGAAAGAAAATGCGACGCATCATTATTCGGAAATATGAATCATCTGTATTCTATTGTATTATATGTGTATTCTTGCTGTTATTTGTTTGAACTTTATAGTTTGGAATTGTGTTTCTTTTCAAATTAAATCTTTTTCTAAAAGTATTAAAATTAATTAATTAAATATAATAAAATTATAAATTCATAATGTATAACAAATGTATAATTAAATTTATTTAAAATTTTACTTTAATTAAGTCTTAAGAAATGGTTTTGTTTTAGTTATTGTTAAATGTATTGCGAATTATAAAAAAATTAATTAATTATTCGTGTTAAATTAGTTTAATAAAACAATAAAAACCATTGAATGGATAACTTGGTCAACCTGCTTCAAGGAAACTCAAATGAAGCACTTGATAAGTTCGCTAAGCTTGAAGCGCGTTTAGACGATCAAGAAGCTCAAATCAAGCAACTTCGGTATGAAAATTGCCAATTACACCACATTGTCTATTCCCTCATTAAGACCCGACAAAGTGAGGTCGAGGACTTTGTTGAAGGCGATGTTTCATCGGAACCAATTGAAAAACTCATTTCGTCTCCAAACAGCACTTTAGCACGATTTGGAGTAAGTGCAATGAATTCGATCATTTCGTCACGAAATCCATCCAAAGTCCTCCAACCGATTTCGCCGGATGCACTTCTAGACTTCAGTATGAAGTACCAAAAAGATGAAGAGAAAGTTGAAATGTTTAATGTGATATCTAAGACGTCTCACTTAGAAAATAGTGTAGAATTATGTGATGTGATTATGAAAGAGGTAGGGGAGTGTAGTGAAACTCTTGAAAACATAGCACTTGATGCATTTTCACGAATGGAAAGGGTGTATGACAATGTTGAGTTAGTGAGGAGAGTATGTGAATGTGCCATTCAAGTACCATGTGATGATGTCCAAAAAAAGCTTCGTGTGTCTTATTTGGTACTTCGGTATGCACAAATGAAAAAGTACGAAATTAATTCCACGATAATCAAGACTGGGGTGTTTGAGTATGTTTGTGATGATTACGTTGACCTTAAAAAATGTGGAGTGCTTGGTATTTTCCTTCTTGCAATGGAAATGGTTTTTACAGATGAAACAGCGATTGACGAAGTTCAGTTCAATTTGACAAAGGCTTTAATTCAAAGTCCTTTGTGGCACGAAGATTTGTTAGGTGAGAAGTGGCAAGAAACAAATAAATTCAATCCGTTTCATTTGATGAGGGAGTTATGTTCTTCGATGATTCAGCGAAGTATGATTTTCAAAATGGATTTAGAAGAGGATATATTTGAAGCAATAGATGTCGACAATATAGAAGCAATTAAAATACTGATTTTATTAGGAAAGGTGTGTGCAAACGAAACTGTAAATTACATTAGAGCAGTCAAAGATGCGATGGCGGACCATCTTGACGACACCGAATATCAACGCATTGCTTCGCAATTCATTTTTTCTGCTGTTGTTGGGAATGCAGCGTGTTTTTCAAAGTAAAAAACAAAAGTGTCATCTAATTGGAGAGTATTGTGACTTTGTTTTCATACTATTTTTCAAAGTTTTTAATAAAAATCAATAATTTTATATTTAAGAAAGCACACTTCGTTGTTTTTTCTTGGGTTTTGTTACTTTCTTTATCATTAATGAATAATTTTAAAGTATCGTTAGAACAATAAAATAATTACAAAAGAACTATACGAAAAGCTAAAAAATTCAACAAATAGATTCCAACAAGAAAAACCAAAAACAACGATAAAGAAGGTTACATCATGATGATTAAAATAAGAACAGCTATGACAAGCGAGTTCAAGTGAGCCCCACAAACCTGTTTAACTCCGCCAGCTATTTGTTTCACACTCTCCGAAGCGTCTCTGGCTTTGTACCCAGTGTCGCACGTTTTGCAATGTGTCTCATTGCAATCTGCACAGTGTGTGAAAAAAAGTTTGCACTCTTCACATACTCCGTTTCCCATCGTGACATAACCAGCCTTACACTTAGTACAACCGGTATCACCAAACGTCTCACACCCAATATACTTTGCTTTCTCAGTACAAATCCCAGTCGATGTTACAAAATAGCCTTCATTGCATGTTTTGCATTGTGTTGTCGAACCCTCAACACACACATCGCATTGGCGGACTGTGGTGCACTCACTACGACCCAACGCAACAAGAACAATAACTGCAAACAGCCCCATCTGCTCTTTTCAGTTTTTCGTTTCTTTTATTTCCCTTCAGTTATTTTTGTTCTTTTTTACTATTAATTACTATTCTTTTACTACTTCCACTCCTCTCTTCATTTTCTCATTTTTTCGATTCCTTCCACATGTTACATCTTTTTCTTTGAATTGCAAAACTGGCTTTTTTTCTATATTACTTTACTATATTAGTAGTCCTATATATTATGGTTTCTCTTATTATTATTATCTAGTAGTATGACATATTTTAATTTAATATAAACAATTAATTTTTTTATTTATTAAATTGTGACAAAAACATATTGATATTTATTTTTAACTTTTTAAATGAAATTATAATAAAAATTATCAAGAAAAAATTCCAAACAATCTATTGTACTGTGTCATTTTTGTTATTTGATAACGTTAAAAAACTGAATTTTTTTTAAAAGACTGAATCAATATTTTACTGTTATAATTCTCGACTCATTGTTATAATACCTTAGTCATCATTTTTATATAATCAGGCATTCACTGTCGTATTTTACTTTTTGGTCAACTTCTTTAAATTTGGTCTTTTTCATACTTCAACGTTGGAGAACACTTACTTTTTGATCCTCATATCGTAAACCCCTTTAATTACTATCTGGATTTGTCATACGTTCAACAATGAGTTTTATCACCTTCTTCTCTTCTGACTTTCTGTTTTTG